ATGTAAAACTGAATGCCAATATGCGACTTTGGCTTCATTACAGCAACTTTCAGCATATTAAATAACTGTAAGTAATTATTTATAACAGTATTAAAGTAATTTTAATAAAATAAATAATATTGATTTCCAATTTAATATTAATTATATATTAAATTGAAATTTTTTATGTAAAAAAATATTATTTTCTTGAATTCTTATATATACAATATGTATTTCGCATATTTGTGTTAAATTAAGTTACTCGTATTTTTAATTATCTTTTATTTCGAAATGCAGGAAATTAACTGGTTTATTCATTTTCATGTGCATGCCAGTCTGCGAACCTTATGGATTGTGCCGCACGAATTTCAGCGAAATTCAACTGTAGTTTAACTGCAGTTCAACCAAGTGGCACGTTTGACACGTTAAACAAGTAGCCGAACATTGATTGTCATAAGCCTTTGAGAGAAGCAAACGTAATCAATGCAGCATGTTGTCTATCAGGGAAATGCGTTTGTCATTGTTTCGCTATGCTAGTAGTAAGTTGAGACTAAGCGGAATAGTATATGTGTTGAGATGTTTGGACGCGCGGGATGTATTTTACGAGCGTGCCTGCTCGGCCTTGTTTAGAAGAAGGAACTTTGATATGCGCGCCGAGGTTGCATCGTTATCCAGCTCGCAGTATTTTCCGAAGCATCGATAAATTTTTGCAAACTCGTACGATATCGTTATTTAAGAAACAAGGGAGCGCAGAAGAAAATTGTGTCTTGCTTTGTTGTAAAGCTGTAAATCAGATAGAAAACCTAGATAGAGAGAGGACCGATACTTTTATGATGCGTAGTTGTATTTCTGTAAAAGTTTTTCTCGGATATTACGCAATCGTCAAAAAGTGCAACGTACAGAACAAATTATTTAGTATAATTCATGATTTTGTGTAATTTATGCAACCATTTTATTGGAAACAGATATTGTTAAATAATGGTTATTAACGTCAAAACATTATACTAATAATATTGATTAACCCATGTAATATCTATATATGATGATCTTAAATAATTAAAAAAAGACGTTGACGATTACAAAGTCATAAAATATATAAATTTAAAAATTTTATTATTATTATATTAAATATTACTTTGCAGCTATAAAATAATAAAAGTTGTGCCAATTCAGAAAAAAAATTTTCATAAAATATAGTTTTGTATCAATCCTAATTACGTTACATTAATTATTGTAGCAGCCTAGATGTAATACTTTACTTCCGAAAGGATGAAGAAGTAATAAACTAGGATGTCGAACCGAGGCCGGTAAAATAATGTAGGAAGCGCTCCGAGCGTTCAGAATGCACTTTATGAGGTTACTGTAGTAACATCTTTAGCGAAACTAACGTAATAACATGAAACACATTGCACACACATCTTTAAGTTTTACGAATTAATAACATTATATTCGTTGTTTTACTTCATAAGCTACTGTTCAAAATGTACATCTTTTATTTTATTGTATACGATATTAATATTAATAATATTAATACATTCTAATTCATATAATTATAACAATACTTAATTTTATTTTTGATTTTGGAAAATTATGTCTACAAGATGTTGAATTATATTTAAAAAAATTAATAATATTAATAGCAATTTACTTAAAAAATATGAAATATTGATTTCTATTTTGTTTCATTGTATATATAAATCAATATATTATCATAATTTAAAAAAAAAAACAAAGTGAAGAAGCAAGCTGATGCACAGAAGAGTTAATAGATATGTTACGTATAAAGTGTTTCAGTGAAAAAAATATAGCCAAGCGTGTTCGATAAAGTTTCTTGAAAAAGTTAGAACGGTAAACTCATAAAACGCATCTTCAAAGCTCGTCCTGCGTTGTTCTATATATCCTGCTTCGACTGCTTTATACTTTATTACGTCTGCATCCTTCAAGCGTTGCCAAACAATTTTCTCAAAATCGTTTACTTGTTTCTTGACTTCTTATTCTGTGATTTTCAATACTGCAGATTTCTTATTTACATTATTTTTTTGAATTACACTGTTAATATTATAACGCGGTAATATTGGATAAACAGGAAAATTTGATAATAAGAAAGAATATTTGATTCATTGTGAAAGTTAAAAATGTTTAACGAAATTCCAATAAAATGTACGTTTCATAATAAATTATTAATTAACAATTCATATAATATATGTCATAAGAATTGTTTTTAGAAATACTATTATTTATCAGCATTATATCTTTTGATATATTGCCGAATTTATGCACATGTTGATTGTTCGAACTTTGTTATCAGAGGAATAAGAAATGAGATCGACAATGCCAAGCGAAGCACTTCACATAATTATCTACGTACTTGTAGACAAGTCAACCATTAACTAAGGTGATATCTAGGAATAGGTGTAGTGTTTGAAATTCGTTGTTCCTACATACACATATATACGTTTTGGCGTTTTCACATGTGAGAAGTTCGAAAGTCCCTTCATCTGTCTTCTCGATGGTGTGTTTTTAGGTAGCCGAGTGAATAAAATTAAACTCATGTGTATCGACCAGACATTTCTTTGCGTATTCTTAGGCTATTCTTACGCATTATGCTCTGATGCACACATGGCCCCTTATACTTGATGCTACTAACACTGCTCGTTATCTCTACGTCGTGATGCATTTAGAAAAAAATCTGTTTTTATATTTTTGTCGTATATAGCACATTTATAGCACAAAAACAAGTTTATAAAAACCAAATTGTTGTTAATTCTTAAAATTGGTAAAGTATTTTGTTCAATATTCAGTTAATTGACAGAAAATCCTGAAGGATGTTTTATCGAATAAACAATTAAGTATTGATTTAAAACACTAATAATGTAATGTACTACACGGAAAGAACACGTTTGTTAAAAGATCTAAAAATTGTATCAGATACAGATCTGAAAATAATTTTGTTGGACAATCAAAGTTTATTAATAGAGCACTCGATCTTTTTCATATCGTAGCCAAGTTTTAACGAATCAAGATTGAGTGCTCTATTGATAAATTTGGAATGTCTAACAAAATTTATTTTTGGATCTGTACGTAACATAATTTTTAGATCTTTTAGCAAAAGTGTTCTTTCCGTGTAATAATGCAATAAAAAAACAGTAGTATATAAAAAATAACAGCAGCATCAAAAGTTTGTATTTATCATTCTCTATATAAAATGATAAAATTATCTTAATTTAGCATTTTTACAATGTTTTAATTTTAAATTCGAATCATATTTATTCTGTTCTTTATCAACATATACGCATATAAAAGTTATACAGGAGATAATAAAAAATTATACGTTGAGATTAAAATATATAATAGAGAAACATGTTCAATAAAATAATATAAAAAAACTTTAGAATGGATAGAACTTTAGAATAACAGTGGAAAAAGTTAATTTGCAGTTTATCTCTCTGCAGAATGACCGTTTGCCAATATTCATCGTTCAGGAAAAAGAATAAAAGACATATTGTGAATCTGGTTGCATACATTTCCTTACAAAAGGAAGTTACATATCGACAAAATCTGGAAAACGGTCTAACTAGGCCAGCAAGGTAATGTCGTTTACCTATTGTGATCGTATTAGCCGCAAATTACTTTCATACTTAGCTTTTCTCTATATGTGACTACTGTAACTGCATGATTTGGAACGTGGAGTACAAATTATATTCTCTCCGGAGATATGGAAATGTACATATTAGTAAGACAAAAATGTTGTAAACAAATGATGAATGATGTTTAGATTAATGTTTCAAAGATTTTGTTATCCCTCGTCAAAGTCCCTCAACAATTTAGTATCAGTAAGTACTATATCATATTCTATCTTCATGTGTTGTCAATTATGTTAAAGTTATTATATTATTAAAATCCCAAAAACTCAAAAAATTGTGCACAATTATTTATTTGAAGATTTTTGGGGTAAGTTTCAGCAATTAATTTTCTTTTAATATCAAAAATATTATAACATTAATATTTGAAATATGAACTGTTAGAGTAAAAACTTTTTGCAAGTTAAATTTTCAAGAGACAAATAACCAAGTAATATTGCTAGTAATCTGTTTCATATATCCTTATTAGTAAATATAAATATTTTAATATTATCAGTTTTTGCGCGCGTTGTGTATTAAAGTGCGATAAGTGTGTAATATAGTGACAATTATGCAACGTCGAATTATCGTTAACAAAATAAATATCACGATATAACCAGTGAAATTACTTATCAAGCGATGTGCTGGTACCACTCCCTCTTCGCTAACTGTTCCAGACGTTTCCTCGCGTAGATACGAATCGATTAAGGAAGCAGCTAGTCACATCCCCGTTTTAATTAATATGGCACGATGATCACCCGTCACATTCCACGACACTCCCGACCATACGCGTAATATATTTGGAATAACTAATCTGTAACAACGTGAAACGAGATGATCGTATGACATTAGATGCTTGCACTCGTTCACCAGAAGATCTGAGATTATATTCCGCCATTACGCGAATCACGGCAATGTCTCGCGATGCAAAAACATGTCCGCCGCGAATTCAGGCGTTATCGAGAAAAATCTACATTGTATCGCGTATCTGAATTAATCTATTCGTTTATTGCTCGACTCGACACTCCCGATACTTGCTCAGAAACTTCGTTTTCGACGGACAATACAAGCTGTCGACACTGATCGAACAGATTGCGGTGTATCACAGAATTAGTGTGAAGTAATTAAATCGAATTACAAGTGTTTGTTGTGCGACAACTAAAAGCAGTGTCACTGTGAAGCTAGCTCAAGGAAACTATACTAAACTACGCTAGTCAAACTAAAACACAAGTGTGCGATTAAGGCTTCTACTCATAGACGTCAACGCTTCATGCGGTAATAAGCGACGCGATAGCCAATCATCTTGCGTTAGATTCAGTTTCTTTTATATTAGATTTAGGAACGCATTGCGAAATAGGTCGAGGTAACTACTCTAGTCAAATTACAATAATCCGTGACGCCACAAAATCATTGATAATAAAAACTGTTGCTTGACGTATTTCGTTGCGTTGAAAAGTTTAGAAATTCGAGGCATATTCAGGAAGGTAATACGTAAGTTTAATTGGCAATTGTTATATTATTTTGTAACTTCTGTTATCATTAACGGTTTCTACATATAATTGCGTAGCAACAATTGTATCTACGCCCATTTCTATTCGACAGAAAGGTTACGTTGTCTAAATTCAAACAGTTTCTAAATTGCATTCATAAATAAAAATTTTGAAAGATCAACCGATGAATAAATTCAATCACATTCGGATTTATTGATTGATTATTTATTTATTCTGTTTGTGATAATGCGTCATAGCCATCGCGCTTTGACTCTCGAGCTATTTCCACGAGTATTAAATAATTTATGATGTGATTCTAATTATCGCAGTGCAGTCAGCACTGCGATTTATGCATGTTTAATTTATTGTTGACGTTGCGATCGAGTAGCCATCTTGTAGCCATCTCATTTCTTTTGTCATTCTTTTGTTATACTAACGCAACCATATATATCTTTGTTTTAGATAATTTTGACGGAGTACGGTTGGCACAGAGTTAAGCCTATCTCGGTCGTATCGAAAATTCGACGAGAATACACCCTGTGGTGGAACGACCGAGAGAAGAGCAGGCGAGAGCGCATGAGTCGACCGGCTGCCGGCCGTGACGTCACGCGCGACGCGCAGCCCTACTTTCAAAAGTCCCGACTACCGCTCAGTCGCGCGTCGTGCATCGAGCGATGTGTATGTTTCTCTGTTTAAATTTCTATGCGTGACCATGTTATTTTGACAGTCCGATATTCTACGTCTCCCGCGAGTTTCGTGAATCTCGCGACGTTTCGAACGACGAGCGCGTGAAAACGCGACGATGCAGCAGTGTGAACTTGACCGCGGGCGGTGAATAAATGTGTTCACGAACGCTAAGCCATCTTAAATGCTAGATCGCAGAACAATACGGATATATCTAGTACATATTTTACGTGATTTTAACAATTTCGGCATGGATAACGCCCACGTCCGGATTTCGCGATGCGGATCGAAGTGAGTTGTTAGGTTAAGAGGTTTGAGAATCTCGAGCGACGAGTTCTTGAAGCAAATTATAAGTGTAAATCGACCTGAAATAAACGTCTCGGATTTTCGAGATCATGGCGCATCAGCTTGGAACGATTCGGTGCTATCGGCTTTGATCGAAACAGACTGACCGGAATGATCGATTCGAGTTCAATGACTTCGCGGCGGGTGACTTGTTTTCGTTGTTAATAGTTATACGGAAGTATCTGATATCGTAGTGTCGATGACCAAAGTGCGGGTAGTGTCGCGTATCAGTGCGAAATCCGTTAATAGCATACGACGGTGTGGCATCAGTGTGGCGATTGACTGATTAGTGTGACGATGATTTTAATTAGTGCAGCGGTCAGGAAGGGAATGGTCATGATGGTGCTGGTGGTGTCGTTGCTGCTTCTACGACCCTATCTGGCAGCGGGCTCCGACAATTTGGGTAAGTTATTTTTTTATGTTTTTGAAATTGGAGGTTAGAATCAATTATAATTTTGATGAACTTCACTCTTAATGCTGTAGATATGCGCATATTCGACTTGCAACAAGTATTCGTTTCTATTAATTTTAATTGTTTGTTTATTAACTGTTAAAAATTAACAGTTACAAAATTATAAAGGTTAGGTTACAATTAACCTTTACAAAATTATGCCGATTTTAATCTCCGCTTCGCACAAGCTATTAAATGAAATAATGATATAAATTAGTTGTTAATACTGTGTTCCAAAAGGTTATAAAAAAGTACTTAAAAATATTCTAAGCGAGATAAGTAGTCTTTTTTTAAATACTGCTTAATTTTTAATCTTTACGTGTTTAAAAATTAAAAAAGTAACTATCTATTGAGTTAATTAAGAAATTATTGAATTTTCTATTAAATTTTTCGTTTAAGTCGGACGAAGATAAAATCAATGCAAAAACATGAAACAAAATACGAGAAATTTCTCAAAATTAAATGTGTTAGGATAAAATTGACTGAATCTTGTCTGTACCTACTCTTATTGGAGGCAACAGCGATACAAAGTGGCAACTCCATGTGCATATAATTAAGAGATTAGAGAGTAAATTGAAGGAATTGCCGCTCGGGAGATGTGGCATGTCGCTTGCGTTTAGCCCCGTCTTTCGTGATACCTAAGGCGCTGCGCGCGCGCGCGCGCGCGCGCGCGTATTCCTGCAATAATTAGTATAATCAGACTTAATGATGTTAAAGTCGATATCTCGTCTCGTGGCATCGACGCAACTCGACGTCTACGCTCGTTTTGATTCATGGGGCAAACTCCCGACTCAATGCGCCATAAATCAAGGATCATTGCGACGCGTGAATTAGTTGCGACCCAGCCGCTTGTATAATTTATCTAGCACGTAAAATCGTTTACATATATAGATAACAGTTGTCAAGCGCGTTTTATGTCCACGCGCGCGTGCGCTCTAGTTTGCGAATTAAACGAATATATCGTGGGATTTGTAAGAACCACCCGGTTATATCCGGCTACCGCTATGACAATTTACGATGGCTCGTATTTCGCGAGTGTCGATTTGTTGGGGAATTAGCGTATTCGTTAATTATTAATACTGAGGAAAGGAACCGATTTTATTTCCTGAATCAGAGTTCTCTACATTTTCGAAAATTGTAAAGTGTGGAATAACACAATGAAATGGAGGCTTGCGGATCTATAAGTTGAATTTTCTGTTGGAATATTAGCATTAAAGCGGTGAACCGCTGGGGAATTTTGGTACACAAAATCGAGATATTACTAGGATTATTAGTCATAAAGTTATTAGCGGAAATTCTAAACAAGCATTAATGGCTGAAATATTACTTCTTACCTAAATATAATTTCATATAGATATAATAATTTAATTAATTAATTTAGTTTACATTCTTGATACTTTGGGAAAAGGTTACGTGGAATGCCCTGCGTACAGATTTGTCATAATTTGAAATTCTTCCTGAGATGTAATTAATAATTTAATATTACATTTCTGCATATTGAGATTTCTGCATATCTGCTTACTATCTCGGATATTATGGAATTAGTTTATTTTAAATTTTTGATTTTGATCTTTCTAAAAATCAAGATCTTTCGCGCTCTACTAATGCACCCGATCGTAACGCCAAAGTGCTCAACATGTCATGTCCAAATACTAGATGACGTCGATTGATCAACGATCGTAAAGTTGGTCAAACCCGTCATGTAGGTGCTAACGTGTGCGAAAAGAAGAAGGGGGAAAAAGAACATGATGAATAAAGGCGGGAGAAGAATGGACAGTGCATTTGCGCGGGACGGCGAATAGCCGCAGGAAGAAAGCGCGTAATTACCCTCGTAAATCTATCGGATGTTTTCGAAGGAAGGAAAGAGATCGGGCGTCCCCCGCCGATGGCACTTTATCGATAGTCTGCGCAGTCGTTTGGTCTCGCTCGTAAATTCTTATTATAATTGGCGCGATCGCGACTGGAAATCGCGATCGGCGATGATCGTCGTCGCGGCGGCTTTGCTAGTTTGAAAAGTTGCCGTCATCTCTATAAATCCCTTGAAACGATGGACGCGCTCGCGGGCTTACATACGGCTGAAGTTTCACAGATCCAGGTGAGAGATGCAAAAAAAGCTAGCACGAGCGGGTAAAGAAAGAGCTTCGCTAGGTAACGCGAGAACATTTGGCTTAAAGAGCTCGACGTTATGATCTTTAAAAAAAGTTGCCTGAGCAGATAGTTCTGAAATAGATTCAGCTCATCTTTTAGATACTTATTCGGATTAGCTATGCATCGCGTTGGGAAAGCATCATTGCGCTGAATTGAGGATAAATTCTCAGTAAATGTTCGTGTAACTGGTGCTCGGGCAACGCCTTATATAACTTAATCTTGATTATCTTGCACGGATATCTTTGCCGTCTTCCACTATAAATTGTACAAAATCTGTGCGAAATGAGGTCACGAACTGCAGGGGGAATGCGCACCTATCTGCATTTCGCCGGGAACAATTCTTCCGTGGCCATAATTCAGCGCTGTCAGCGAAAAAAACGGCAAGTCGTAATTTTCACTCTTTCGTGAAATAGATTCGAATATTCGAAAATTAATGCAAGATATTTTATATTCGCAACAGTCGCCGCGATGAAATACGAGTGGACCGGCTTGTGCGCATCGTATCGAAATCTGCGCGAATGCAGTCGCGATTTCAATGAAATTTTCTTTTCTTTTGTTCGAATTTCGGTATCTTTGACGCACTGCTATAGACATTGTATATTGAGACAATTATGGCACTCTAGAAAATTGATACTGCTTATAGGTAAATATTCTTCCGTTATAGGATTTCGTTATACAATTAATTTTCTTGTCATTTAAATTATGTAGCGGTAGATTTTCCTAAAATAGTTTGCAGACGGTATTAATTTACGCAGAGTTATAGTCCTTATGCGAAGTAAAACAATAGCTCGTATACATAATTAATTAACCGCCCCATGGAGCAGGTTCAAGAGTCGAATACGATTAAAGGCTTCTCTGTTTCGTTCTCCATTTTAATCGTCATCAGCATTCTGATTGTCTTATATCATTAAATTTAGGTCGACAGTTTCCACGTTCCTGAGATAGATTTATGATCTTCAACACGTCGTACATTATTTCATAAATTATTTCATAAATTATTCAGTACTATAATGGGAAAATTCAAGATGATTTCTTGTAGAACAAATTTTGTAAACGATTCATTACATTATTTCACGTGTATTCGTATTGGTCGTATTGTATTGTTTACTGTATCGTATTGCTTCTCGTCTGACTGATTCGTTTGATTTGCTTTAACGATGCGTGTTTGTCAATGCATCACGCGGATGGATTCATGATCGATGCGATAAACGTGTTCTTGTCGTGTTACAAACTCTCGCGCTATCGGCATCCTCTCTCTTTCTCTCATCCTTCCACATTCAATCTCGCACATTCTTTTCGGGATAAAAGTTTCGACGGGAGAGCACTTCGTTTTCAAGCTTTTCCATTTCCGTTTCCATCCTCGCCGTCTTACGGTCGCCGCAACAGAATGCCTATTTCTCGATTCTCGATTCAGCAAGTCACACAGAATAGGTAGCTTGCTCTGCTACAGTTTAGTAGCGGTCTACATTTCGCGGGAGTGCATTTACCTATTGTTCGGCTGGCTCGTCTTTCTTTCCGAGTTGAAAGCGTGCCCAATCTACATATCTGTCCTCGTGTTTCCGGCGCTGCACGCACGCTGCCGCTCGTCGCTTCCACTCTGTTATTTGCTGCTTTCGTAATATTGGCAGTTGCGATTTTCACGTGTAGGATTGCTATGAGATTGCGTCTGTATTTTGATTTAGAGATGAGCTCTGTAACAACACGCGTTACTTTTGGAACGAGCTGCGCGGATTACCGCTACGTACCGTGTCTGATTTGGTTGTTTCTTCTGCAGATTTAAGAGTGCACTCAATTTACATGTGTATCCACATGAGTATAAAGTTTTTACCGCTTTTTCTTATCGACTCGCAGTACGCGATCAACCGCATGTACAGTTTGTTCTGGTTTCATTTGATTTTTTTTCTTTCCATCCTCTTCATTTTTCTATGAAAATTTTTGAGAACAAACAGAAAAATTCCAAAAATTGCTTGCTTTGAAATTGTGATCTTGAACGGGCAAGATAAGCCGCAGCTGCATGTTTTAAACATTAGGATGCAAAAGGTCAAAGTTCGGTCGATGCAACGAGTGCATTACGACGAAGTCGCGGTAACTAGATTTTGTGATGATCAAAATCCGACTTGTACAAAAAACAGCACGACGCAGCAGATTTTCCTCGTCGTTTGGTTCGTATTTCGTAAATTACCATTTTCTGAGAGATTTTGCGAGCTTCTCGAAGTACGTGTATACGCGAGTAGCAAGTCTTGCCGTCCGTCATGCTCAACATCGCATAAGCAAATTAGTAGAATTTCGGTCGACCGGAATTTGCAGCAAAACAACCGTAAATAAACGGCAACTGTTTACGAATCTATCCAGCAACAACGCCGAAATGCCTACGATTGATAGAGGTAATCCACGGTATACGTCATTAATATGGAATTATTCTGGCCGCGGCGATCGTGCGGGTCATCTCTCGTCGCGTTTATCCCTTACGATTGATGAGGTGGCGTTCGTAACACGTGGATAACTTTGCGAATAGAGCGTGTGTATCGAGTGTGCTTTCGAGATAATTATTGGCCGCTAATTTGCAGTCGTTGCCATCTGCCTAATGGCGCTTGTATACGCGCATGGCACACTTGATAATTTATTAATAATACATGCGTAAGAGTACGCGTGACACGCTCGTCAACGAAACTCGATGTGTAAATCTATTTTGTGCGAATTTCACCTGGCTATTGTGCAATTAATGGGAAATCGTGATTTTTTCACAATGCTTTCAAAATATGCTTTGTTAATATTTATATTTTATATTATTTTTCCCATTTATA